CTCTTTAATACCTTAGATTTGATAACTGATTAACTGTTAGTACTGTTTGATATAAAACGACATTTGTATATGGCTTTTCAATACGAACGCGATCGATGTTCTCAGTTTTTGAATGAAGCACTGCAAAGCCTTAGTCCAGCAGGCAGCCCAACTATTACTTGAGAAACATTAATCTCTATATTAAATAATAATCATTTATTGCGAGAAACGTGGATGTAAGAAGTGAACAAGGAAAAGACATGCTTTAATTTGTGGTGATGTTAAGTGCTGATTCCAGRTAGTATGTCATTAATGTKCSGYYCCTAGAATCAAACTTGTCTGTTCTGTGCATTGTACAGTATGTTGTAATACTATGACATACATGTACATGTAGTACCACCAGGGAACACACATTTTATTGAGAGTGTGTCCTAACAGGATAAATTAAAAGTGCTCCCTTAATATTTTCTTTTCCAATCCTCCAAGTTTTGATTGCGGAAAAATCTGCTTACATGTAACAATGAATACACATTTTTCATGTATAATACTTGGTATGCCTATAGATTCTATTGYAAAGGTATATGATGTGTTATTTCCCTGATTGCCAACCAATACAATATACATGTACGAGAGTGCATATTTGTGAGTATTTCTTTCTTGTATATTCAAGTTATATTTCCTATGATAGGATGGTTTGCTGGAATATCTGCTGTTGCTGCCTAGCACTAGTGAAGATGAACAACTGTTYCTATTGGCCAGTAAAATATTGCTCTATTATGCTGAAAGTGAAACAGTAAGTCAACCAGTTTCTATACTACAAGAATGTGAATTATAATATTAATATTAAATTGTACTTTTTCCAACATTATTTGATGATTCAAACATCAATTTCTCAACCAGCCCACCCTCATTAACAAAAGCGTTTTTTGACATTTTATTCTACGCATCCTAAAAAGTAGAAGACTATTTAATAAACTGACGTTTTAGATATTAATCCTAAATCCCTGTTCTTTTGAAATTCCAATGTATAAAAGGCATATTTCAAATTACTTTAATAATAATGTTGTGCTGAATAATTTTGATTTTTTTTACTCATTAATAATGTATTGTTCCATTAGAAACACTGTCACAAGTGTCATGAAAGTCAAGCAAATATGAAACAATATTCACTAATAAAATTGGAATTACGTTTTTGTAAAAAAAGTTACAAAATTGAGCACTCTATCAGTTCAAAATGACAAATTTATATTATGCCACATTAAGTAACTTTTTGCAAACAAACTTGTAAAACAAGTGAACGTACAAATAAAGTAGATTTCAGTCAATTATTTATATCTGCATTTTGATTTATCTGGCAGTGACTATCCATGGAATTAATAACATTCATATACACGTACTTGCAGAAACGTTGTCATAGAAAATATAACATTTGAATTTAGTAAAAAGTAATAAATTTAAACAAAACAAAATAAAGCGTTCAGCCTCAGTGATCTTCTTTTTGTCTTTTTAATTTATTCCTTTTTACTAAAATACAAATGTCCTATTTTTTTATGACAACGTTTTCGCAAGTAGGTGTAGTCAAAATTTTAGTTCTCATATTGTGAATAATTTTCTTACTCTGATACTTTTATTACAGGCATGTCAAAAACTAGTTGAGTTTGAAGACCTSAAGGACCATTTAATGGAATTTGCCTTCAGCCAAGACCCACTGCTGCAGAATATTGTAGCAAAAATAATCCTTGCTATTATTGACTCATATGAAAACAAGTAAGATCATATTAAAAATACATTTTATTCAATTATTGCAATATATMACAATGATATTCTCGGTTTGCACATGACGTCATTAGTCGAAAAAAAATTCTAAAATTACAGACACACAACATTGCAGTACTAAAATACCTTGAAGAGCATGATAACAGTTCTCTCTGAAAGTTAAACTTAAACAACGTAAATAAAGCTATTAAAGCATTAGTGATGGTTTCCAGAGAGCAAGTTTAAACTGACTCAGTATCTATTATTTCATATATCAATAGCTGACTTTAGATATTTTGGTTCAATAATCGATAACCCAAAAGAATTGTGGATGATGCGGAGGGAAATATTCAAGAATACGTTAACATTATCCATTGTTTGCCCAGAGCCTCTTCAGCACTTCTCTTATAAATGGTTACTCTTTCAAACAAAAATATCTAATTAAAGTGGACTACTGTATTCTTGTACATGTACCTTACTGAAGGCCTCAAGGGACTTACAGCTTTTTTAATAAATTTCTGCACTTGTAAATATTAACACCATTACATGACTATGACTTTGAATTAAAGTCGAAATATTGTATTCGCTCTTCAGACTCGTTTCTTAATCCAAAATTTGGGTTTCCTAAACGATGTTTTCTTTCCTCGGAATTGTAATCATTTCAATGTACCTTACAGTAGTAATCAGTATTTTATTGCTATACGTATAATTATACTAATCATAACTACTGTTTGTTTTATTGCTCTACTTATAATACTAATCATAACTACTGTTTGTTTTCAGGGACACTATTTCATCACTTGGCCTGGATGAAGTCTTGATACTCATCAGAAATGACGCAGTTGATAGAGATGCATGGGAAATGTCTGACCAAGGACTCATGATTTTACATAACATCAGACCCCATAAAGATCATGTACAAACTTTGAATGATAAGAAAATAGCATGAAACACTTTGAATTGGATTCATACAACACAACATTTTTGGTTCACTCCAAGGCTGGTTGTTCACAGATTGATTAAACCTACTTGGTGGGAACTAACTAGTGTGAGCTGCRTCTGTGTTTCTAAAGAAACAGTAGTTATTTCACATACTTTTTTATGGTCTTAAATTTATCCTTTTACACAACTAATCCTACTTGGTTATCACTGAAATAATTAGATTTAACTAAAAAACAACCAAGCTTTGGAGAGTTGTATAAAGGATGGTTATCCACTAGACTTTGTATGATAAGATTTTATCCTCTGGGTGAAGATTGTTCTGGTTGTATTGCTATTTACCCATCATACAACCAGCTCCTGGATATGGATAGAATTACTCACCCACTAACTGAACAGCCTGGTATTGTACAAATCTAATTTAAACTAATCTGTAAATAGATGTAAGTAAGTCACTTGAAGCTTTTTATAGATCCACATGACTGTACATCTTGCAAAGCTGCAGCTTTATTTGGGTAGCAAAACAAACATGAGTCTTGGGTGATTTCTAATAGAAGGTGTGGGCAAGACCAGTCTGTTTATGGTCACTCTTAGTAAATAGAGCCAATTTTGTATGAGTGGGAAACGTATGGTAGAAATTACCGCACGGTTACCGCACAGTTACCGGACCTGGCCTGCACAATTTTTGTGAAGCAATGAGACACTAGAATTTGGTTACAGTATGATTACGGTTACAGTACAGTATCGTCCGTTTCTCACTCATACGAAATTGACACTAGTTCTTAACTGGTTTGCAGGAGGTCTGAAGTAAACCATAATAATTTTACATATTTTCCACTGTACTATAGTATCACAAACAAAGTAACAAACATAGAGACTGTAAATACACAAGACTTTTTAAAAGTATAAATTATATTTATCAAGGGTCAATGTAGCTGTATATTATTTGTGATTATTATTTGCAATAAAATTTATTTGATACTAAAATATTATAATTGAGTTTAGKTGATTTTCTTCAAAGATGCCAAACCAGCTTTTTTCAAAAAAGTTTCATTCCTTTCCAGGATGTTTAAAAATGTCTGTTTGTGCATTGATATCAAAGAACTGTACTTCTTAATYGTGGCCAAAATCAACTTTGTAAACTTCAATGACTTTGCCATATTTTTAGAATTGATTTCCAAGCATTCAATGTAACTTGTTTCCAGCAACTCCTTATTAAGTGCAGCATTGCTGTCAATGATGGTCTGTACTACTGTAACTATATCATCACTCCACAAGAATGGATTCCCATCAGGATTTATCTTGGTTTCCAACAGCTGCTGAAACAACCTGTTACCTGAGTTAAACTTCTCCTTTATAACTTTGCAAATTATGTCTGCTTGAAAAGAATTCAAGTCTTTGGATGCTAATAACTGAATAAATAAACTATCACAGGCAACATTTGTATGTTTGTCAGTAAATTCCATTATGATATTACCAAGAAGYCTTGAAGCTGCASAYTYYAGTCTTGTTAAGCAAGGCARAATACAAWATGAAGCAAAGATGCTTGTGTTCTTGTAGCTTGGCTCAGGTTCAAGCTTTACAAAGCCATGACAAATCATACCAACWATGTTTTCATTTGGCAAATTGTTCAATTTGAGAAACTGGCAAGCATACTCCATCTCTGTATTAGACAGCTCATTGAACAGTTGTAGTTCATTTTGCAGGTCATTGCCRCACWGTATAACTGCTGAATCCAATGAAGCAATGTCATGTAGGATATCCTGCAACTGTTTCAGTTTTGATTGTAAACCTGCATAATTATCATCAGTATTGTCATCATTATTATTTCTATCTGTTAGTGGATCTGGCTCTTCTTTGAGAAYGTTTGTGAYATTTGAATTTAAAGCTACATCATCGTCTGTAATTTCTACCATGTCAAAATCATTAGGKGGTTCTGGYAAGAGGGCTTTACTTGACTGTTCATTTGTAACTGATGATWSKTGATCAACTATTTGTATGYCATCATCTATCTCCATGATGTCTATAATTTCTTTGMTATCATCCTTCCTTCGTGTTTCCAACAAGTCTGTGCATTCCACATCAATTATATCTGTCGTGGTGGTAGAGTCTTTGTATCCAAGGACATCCCAKGACAACTGTTGGTCATCATTCCCAATAGACTCAGATTTCATCTTCTTGCAAAGCTTCATAAATCTCGTTTTTGATTTCTTTGTAGGAATATCAATATGAACTACATGTTTTTCATTGAAATCCTGGTTATTTATCTCTTTAATTTTCACTTTCAAAAGTTTATGCAAAGTTTCCATCCATTCATCCATATTATCCTTGTATTTATCGAGTGTTTCATCCAGTTCTTGCAAAGATCCAGTAGGAAAAASACTGGCATTAGCTAAGAATAATGATAACAAGTTTCTTTGAAGATAATGAGGAAACAGCAGCAATTTAGGCTTGAAGTATAAATTATTATTTAGAGAGATAGGAAATTCTTGAATCAAGTTTTTCGCCAATGTAATCCAACAGACTCCATTCATTTCATGAGCTATCCTCTTGGATGAATTATCATCATAAAATCTTGTATTCAAACGGCCAAGAAGTCCTTGATATTCCGGCGGAAACGATAAAAYTAGCTGTTCCTGAAAGCTGCGCTTCGAAACTAGCTCTGTCATTTTTTGATCATCTTCCGTGAGAGCTGAGAGCTTGTGACTGAACTTGAGCAATGGTAGTCTAGGGAGGGTAGCCTCCGTAGCAGACGTTCCAAGCGGTTCGATTCTTGCGGGAGAGAATCGAACCGCTTGGAACGTCTGCTACGGAGGCTAAGGGAGGGAGGGTCCGTTAAAAATTGTAGTGATGTAATATATCTTTGTCACAGGTTATTGCAAAAATATAAAAGTAATGCAGCATAATGGAAGTTAATTTTTCTCACGTTTTTTAGTGCAAAGTCTTTTAAAAGTCAGTTTAGATTTTTKTTGAAAAAGCTATTTTCAAAAAACTTCACTAGCCTCCCCCGGTGAGTAGAAATTTTTCTTTTCCAATTTCCTTCGTGTGTTTCAGCGCGCGACTGGTGACCAGTGGAGTGCCATTTTACTTCCTGCTAAACGAGCTCTGCTCACAAAACTACTTTCAAAACCATAAAAACAGGGATTTTTTTCCCTAAAATGTCATCCCGAAGGTAAATTAGTAGTGAGATGACAACATCAGTGAATTTTTCTCGCTTAAAGTTAAAATATTTTCGTGTGTTTGCTCGGCAGATGGTTCCATTCGAATGTGAGCGGTTTGGAAGCAGAAAGACTTCTGACAGAGCGGGGACATGATGGAAGCTATCTTGTTCGACCAAGTAAAAGCAACCCATTGGACTTCACATTATCAGTYAGGTAAATTGAACTTTGTTTATTTGTTAATCATAGCGAATTTCCTATTGAATGTCCTCGAAAAGGCTGTCGTTTGAGTTTAGTTGATGAACTTGCAATTACTTACAAATGTCAACTTTGAGCAGCGCTGTAATGATGTTGTGGTTACTTTGAGTGAACATTGGCTAATTTTACACAAATGGCTTGTTAATACGGAAAAGTTATTTTACAATATTTTCCCCTTGTAATCTTAGCTGTTTTTTCTCCAAAGTATGAGACATATGTGTGAACATAGAGTAAATTAATTGAGCAGACGGTGAGTATTTTTTACTTTCCGCAATTTGTAGACTAAGGTTTTATTATTATTGTCATTACTAAAAGAAGCTGTCAATTTTGTTTTGTCTTTTGAATGTCTCATAAGAAAATGAATATTGCGAAATTAAGTCAAGGAAGTGATCAAACGGCGTCAGTTTTGAGTGAGACTGTGAAATATTTTACAAATTTTCTAAGTTTATAATTATAGTTAATAATTTACCACGGTTCAAATAGAATGATTAACTCCTCACAAAGAAAAAACATCTTCTTTGCAAGTTATTTCCATCAATTAGTCAAGCTTGTTTGAGGGATTGATGAAGTCTGAAAACAATTTCTTACAATTTAGGATATATAATCAAAATRTATGTGGGAGTGCAGGTTAAACAAAAATATTATCTGAAATAATTTGAAATAAATTGTATGTGTTAATGTGCATTAATTAGCCATGGCAAAAATGATGTTTTTTTGATCTTAATCACATTGAACAGTATATATTTAAATATATGAAACAGCTGTTGTTTAGAAGCTGTATTTTTTTTAATCAAATGTATAAACTTGAGGTAATATTAGTAGGAAGCTGCAATATTTTCAATTAATTGAAAATTTCCAGGATTAATTTACAGTACAAAATGTATAGTCTAGCAAAAAAATATTAGAGATAATTTCTTACTCATGAATTAACTACTTCCATCG